GACTGAAAATCAGCTGGACCACCAGGCCCAAATTCCCCTCCTAGAATGTTTTCAGGACTTGGCTAGAAAGACATCACTAGATCTACAGTTAGCATCTTCCCACTATGAGTGAGAGCAGGACTACATGACCTCCAGAAGTACCTTCCAACTAACATCTCCACAATTATGTTATTTTTAAGCACAGAAGCTGCAGTAGCACTGGAAGTCTCTGCACAGTACCCTTCTAAGACACAGCAAGAAACAGAAGTCATATCTAACATTATAACAGTATATCCTAATACAGTGGCCTGAAATTAAATTTACCTAAAATAAGCAAAATCTGTTCTATCACCTGCAAAATTAGTAAGGAAATTATTCCTGATGACAAAGCAATTCATTAAACACAGATGCGTAATTTGTCAAAGGCTTCAGACTAGAAACCCATGCTCACAGGGCTCAGAGCTAGCAAGATTCCTAGAGTAGAAGAGAAGACTCTCATATCCCTCGCCAGACATGCAAAGCTTGAACTATTAAGCGACTGACTGCAGATTGTTGAAATGGTTTGGTTACAACACAAACAGCCACATTGTTTTCGTTCTCTTAAAACCTCTAAGGCCTATCAGTTTGTATAAATATATCAATTTAAGTGAACACTGAATAGCATTTGACTACATTGTGTGTCCTTAAGACTCACCTCACACTCTGTTAAAGGCACAAGATCCTAATTAAAAGGTGTCTTTCCGATGAGATGTGACAGATGATCTGGGAAAACACTTTCTTAAATATTACAAATGTGCTGTGACTGTATCCTATTAAGCACAGTTTATTAATATCTACATTACCTAGCAGAGGTGGACAAGATAAATACAGAGAAGCTTTTGCTAATGGAATTCTACTACACAAAAACCTAAAGCCAAATTAAGATACAAAACACCACGCATAGAAATGACAGCTTGGTTTACCAGAAGCTCACCAAAACAAACTGTAGCCCCTTTTCATCAGCTACTTCAAGTACTGCTCCTTTATAAAGGAGCAGAAGTTGATTGTATTGTTGGCTTGATATATTTAATATGGGGGGGAGAGGGGAAAACCAAATTTATTCAACCAAATGAAGGGATTCAGCAATAAAAGAACTTAAGTAAATTACAAACAATCAGCAGGTACATTACATGCCAATAAAACCTACAATCTATTTCAGGAAAAAACTAACTATTTCATAGAATCATAAAATCCTTAGAGTTAGCTGGGACCTCTGAAAGTCATGTAGTCCAACTCCCCTGCTATGCACAGGTACAACACAGCTAGATCAAGTTGCCCAGAGCCTGATCCATCCTGGCTTCAAAGTCTCCATGGATGGGACATCCACCACATTCCTAGGCAATCTGTTCCAGTGCCTCACTACCCCCCCACTGTAAAATTTTTTTTCCTTTTACGTAACCTAAATCCACCCTCTTTGAGCTGGAAACTATTTCCCCTTGTTCTATCACCACAGACCCTTCTCTAGAGTCCATCCCCTTCTTTCACATAGCTCTCCTACCCAGCTTCTTTCACATTTAGGGGGCAAATTTTCACAGTAGTCTCCTAGAGTTAAAAATCAAAATCTCTTCACTATGAGTGATTGATACACTAGTACATCTGCCAACAAGCTGCTGCGTTCTTCAATTAACTTCGTTCTCTCATCTCCAAGGTGAAAGCAACTACCATGAGTTATATCACAAGAGTGTTTCAGCATTTCGTGAATTTTGTGATCTGTAGTCCTTATTCCAAAGAAAAAAAACAGCACAGCATTGTTAACCCAGTTCCTTCTGCGATTTATTCATGTTTGGATTAACTAGAAACACGTGGATGCCTGCAATCTTCTATTCTGTTATTACTGTGTAATTTGCAGCGTGAAAACTTTTAGAGACGTAAGACTGAAGGGCTTACTACTTTTGACTTAATTGACCTGTGCTACAACAGTGCATGACCTGACAGTAAAATCAAGAAATAATAATTACAGATTGTTATTGCAGAATTGACACATTTTTAATACTGACAGAAATTTAATAATTGAAGGATGGTTAATATTAGGGCACAAAATTAAATGTCTCTAGATAAGATTTAACATAGCAGTAGGTATTAACTGGATTAAAGGAAGATTCATTTTGGTCATATTAATGTGCCAATATATAGGAAAAATCTAAATAAAAATGAATGCAGAGTGGCACAGGAGGCCATTTTCTGACAACAGATCCTTCTCACATCACTAGCCTCTCTTGTATAGCAGAACTGCTGCTGATAATCACCAAAAAAGGTAAAAGAATATAACAAAGACATAATTTATAAGCAATATCTAAGGCATGTTTCTCTTCTTTTAAACACCAAGTAGGATCTTTGTTTATCCAAACCCCAAATTTACCAGCCTCATGCCAGATCCCACTTTAGCTCCTCACAACCACAAGAAATATTGTCAAGTGATCTTTTTACTAAGGTTATTGTTTTGTGGATTAAAACAACCTTTCAGGGCTGAAGAAACAGTAATGATACGGTGATGTTCGGGCTTTTTTTTGTTTCTTTTTGTCCCAGTGTTGCACATTCATGATGCAAGCTATCACCAGGGCTTTGTATGAAATAAATCACTGCTTCTCTGTCTCTCTCAGTAACATTTACACCATCTATTCCATCTTAAAATATCTGCCTTTCTTAAGGTTCACTGTATATGTCTTCATACAGTTGACTAGTATCACCAAGACCACCTCAATTTTTTCTTTACATTATTTTTACACTAATTCTAGTTCAGAAATTCTTATTAGACCTCATATTCCAAGTAAATGACCTATAAGGTAACTTTGCTCAGCTTTAGATCATGAGAGGCATGTTATCTTGCACTTTCAAGACACATTCTGCAACATGAAGCTTGACACAAAAAAAGATGCCTTTGAGCCATTTTGTCTTTCCCTTGTCACAAACTGTCCCCAGAGTGTAAAAGGTCATGGCTACAGACACCCATCATAAAATGGCATAAGTAGACCCCAGCGTAACTCAAGTAGCTCTGAAACACAGCCTCTGTCACATGGGAAGTGATGCACTGTTGTTTAATTAAAGTTTCAGATGCTTCAGTACTTCGTTTTCCCTCAGTTTTTACAGCCAGAGATGCTGGTCACCTTGTGTCTGTAGCTCTCTTCTCAGAGATGATATGGTCAGACAGGGGTAATAATCGCATCCAGCAATCCATCACACAAGATGAGAACACTGCCATTATACTACAAGATGAACCACAGAGCATAGCAATAACAAATAGAAGATTAGATCATTTGAATGAGGCAGGCTGCTTCTGCTCCGGCCTAGGAGCATCCAGCAGACATGCACAAAATCACACTTTCCTTTTAACAGTGACTTGCCATTCTCACAGCTCACCCTCAAACGCAGAACTAACATAACATGATGGCCAGTGAGACAGAGAAGGTGACAAAAAGATACATAGAAATAATTAGAAGCTGAGTGCACTACTGACAAAAATCAAGGATTATGAGAACCTCAATTTTCCCAACGCTATGAGCAACTTACACTACACTGTTCATTGCATTAGTTTTCCATGGGAGAATTTGAAATCTGTAACAAAGAAACTTAGGGAAATATTTCATTGTCAAGGTGGTTCACATTTGTAATTGTTATTCCATGGGGTGGGGGAGGGGGGAATGGAGAAAATTAGAACTTCTAAAATAAACTGCAAGAAAAAAAGAGATACAGGTGAGAAGGACCAATCAGATGAGGTGGAAACAGTGTTTCAACCTTAAATTAAACATTTTGTCATTGTATTTTCCTTTGATAATAATTTGGGTTCAATTTACGGTAATATTACATAATCTAATAAAGGTTCAAACATATAGAATACAACTGCATCCTGCATCATTGAAAGGAAAAAAAAAAAAATCAGCTTTTTTAATTGTATAAAGGAACCGTGACTGGTGTTTCAAGTACTCTTCCCATTACAAGCTCAACAACACACAGCTGGGAATAACTACAGTACAGCTGGGTTGGAGGGGGCAAACATCTGCTCTCCCATCATATCACAAAGTAGATATCAGCTGTGCTATAAGAAGAGGTTACAGTTCCTTCCCTTCTTCTAGCTATAAAAGCTACCCCAGTGTACTATCAAGAATGTAACAAGAAAAATAATTACAACAAAATAAAATGAAAACATTAGGTCATGTCTGAAGGCTGGGCACCAGAGGTGTCCTATGGAAAGGTATGTCATGGAGGAGCGCAGGAACCACTGCTAGTTAGTCTGCTTCATCACTTTACTTCATTAAAATCCCATTATCCATCACAGGATATGAAGGACATCTTAATCCTTAGCTGAGAGAATTGATGAACAAGTTTGGAAATAAGGCAAAAATGAAAGGGACATCTATTTTCTTTTTTTAAATGAGAGGAAAATAAAAGTTTCTGAGAGTATTCAGAAAAATTAAGGGAAACTGTGGCCTTGCAAATCAATAGAAATCAGACTTTCAAAGCTAAAGGAAGTTTGGATAAAAATAAAATATTTGTGTGTTTGTTTCAACATTTTTTTGTTTCTTTTGTTTGCTTTTCCCAATTTTGAACCCTTAGAGATGATCAGAGTTAACAAAATAAAGCATAGCTACCCTTGACTGAACCAAGAATTAGTCTCCCTGCTACAAAAGCCAATGCTTCAAAGAATATAGAAGCAAAATTCATGATTGCTTCTTGTCATAAACAATAATAAACAAGTGTTTCAAACTTCAAGGACATGCAATTACAGTATAGGGAACCCTGATCATTCCTTGAAAAAACCTTGTCCATAAGGAAAACCTGATAATTACCCTTAACACAAAGTTATGTAGTTTTTTTGTTTGTTGCTTTTTTTTTTTTTTTTTAAACTCTTACCAAAACAGTGAAGTAGAAGAAATCCTTTCTTATTATTTTGGCTAGTTTCCTAATTCATCCCCCAAAAGGAAAAAACAACAGTAAAGAAAAGAAGTAAAAGAAGCAAAGAATAAACACAGGAATATGGTTCTTACCCCGAAGAGCGGCAGTCTGGTTTGTTTCTTTCAGAGCGATCTGTGAGAAAGGAGGCATAGTATCAGCACAAAACTTGGATGTTCTTTAGCAATACAAGCACCTAAGTCTTACAAGAACTGTCACACCATACAAGTAGCAAAAAACAAAAGCTGGTTCTGTCATAAATCTTTTTCTATGCTGGACCATTCCATTGGAAGGAAAGTAAAATCACTGCTAATTTATTGTTAATTACAATTCCTCTATCTAAAACAGAGCGTACTTAATGTTCTACGTTAGTGCTTTAGATGCTTTCCCTCCCTTTAGCTAAAATGAATAGGATTTTAGTTAATGGTAAAAATAAGGGAGAGGGAAAAGGAAAAAGAAAAACCACAGATTACTCAGCGCAAAAAAATCATTCCATGAATCACAGCTGGCAGAATTCCCTAACAGGATGGGAGAAAAATCAGCAGCTGGTTGCAGCAACATCTGCAAATACACTGAATGCAGTGCAGCTTGTCATTAACCCTTAAACATCTCAAAGTTCTACCTACTGAATCTTTTTGTGCTTTCAGAAAGTGTGTTGTTTATTCATTAAGTACATTGACTAGCTTATTTGCATTAATGAGATGGATTAGAAATAAAAATCTATACATTACAATCATGCAAACTCAAACATCTTCTGCCAAAGAATTCATCAGTCCTGGATACATTCCTTTGCTTTGATTGATTTCTGAAAGCTCTAATACACCAAGAAAATATGAAACACTTCCAAGGATAAAGACAACAAGCACTACAAATACTTAGCATTCAAGCAGACATATGCTTACAAAGTCCAAAATACCTCTTAGCACAAGGTTTTGGCCTACCCAAAAGAGAAAATGAGATTCATGTCCTGCTAAAATACATATACTCTCAAATTAGAGAGATGTTTGCTTTGCAAAAAAAGATATCTACTGTGCAGTTGGAAGGATATTCTTACACCTACGTGTATTTACTCTGACCATGGTGACTTTGATTCTGACTCTGCACAGCTACTCAAAAGCACACTACTCTCCTCCTGTTAGTAAACAGCTTATTGAAATGCTTTTTTATACTTAAGAGTCTTCCTGTAAAAGAAAAAAAGAACAACATATAGACTACATTTTGATCATAAAGCTCTGCGTTAAACTACTTTTTTCTTTTATTAGCATGTTTGTTTGTATAGGTTTATGTCACATACAGAAAGAATATTTTTTTCTCTCCAAAGTCTTACATGCCCACGTGATTGAATTTTGATAAGGAGAAAAAAAACCCATGTCAGTAGAGCTCTAAGAAATACCTAATGCTTTTTCCACCCACAAGTGCTCCTATTGAGCTGTCATAGCCATACAGTACATAATTTATTGTGTTTCTGACTCACAGCGCTCTCCATTTCATCACACCACATGCTACTCTCTTAGCTAGAAACAGCATGCAATAGCTCAAACCTGAATTACAGCAGCAGTTCAAAGACGCACAGAAAAGCTCCTTCCTTCTTTGTCATTTGTTCATGTAACTTCCTTACCAGTGAGTATGCAAAAAAATAAAAACCAACAAGCAGTCAGCACTTCCCACTGAAATCTGCTAGCCATCTGGTGTTCGTTAGGAGTGTTCCCTGCTATTTACACAGCCACAATGCAAAAGAACTCAAGGAAAACCTTCCTACTACCAATGAGATAGGGTAGGTATACCAGTGAGAAGGAAACAAGGGAGCCACAGGAGACATTAACACAGTGTCTGCAGGCTCTCCCCCTCAGCCCACATCCCAGCAGCAGATCCACCACAGCCCAGCACACTTCTGAAGCCTGCTAGCTCAGGAAATCGCTGCAGTTCTCTCTCCTTCCTTTCCACATTGAAACACGAAGCATTATTGATGCTTTTACACATTTTGTTTATGGCTGAATTTAGGAAAGCACATCATTCACAAGTACAACTGGCCTAATAAATAACAATAAATAGAAGCCAGCTAACAAACATTTAGTTAATTCTTCAAAGAAGAAAAAAATCTGTACGCGCTTACAGTTACTTTGAATTTAATTTTCTTTTTTTTCTAAATACCAGGTATAACAGGAGACTCAAAGACTTGACTTTCTAATCAGCACTTAAATTTCACCACTAAGTGCTGTATAGGTATTACGTACAAGCACCAAATCAAATAATGCCACACACCTTTAGGACATGCATACACAGAATAAACATGCAAATCTTCATATATATATATATATATACATATATATATATATGTTACATGTTAGATACACATTCATACACACAGGTAAATATTAAATACAATCACATGCACAGAACCCAAGCTGCATACCCACAGTTAGCTCCCTTTTAATTCTGCACGTTACCTCAACAACTAAAACCTCTATAATTTTCTCCAACATAAATAAGCAATTAGTGACAAAGATCCAAAAATCAAATCTTGCACAGTGGATTTTCCTCTATATCAAAGAAATAAATTGCTTTAAAACATTATAGGATACAATGCTTCTCTAGCATGACAGCGTATGCCCTTCAATCCTAAATACAAAGACAAAGCAACTCACCAGATTAGAGCAAACACTGAGTGCGCACAGGGCTAGCATGCAGTTAGTAGGCAGTTAGTAGGGTAGTCCACACCAAGATATGGGAAATTTACTTGCAAAAAAAATCCACTTCCAGTGACTGACACCTCCTTTCTAAAACAAGCTTCCACAGAGGAGAAGCTTGTATAATTTTCTACTACCTTTACACTGTTTAAATAATATAATTCTTTACTGTGTGTGGGGTTACAGTCAAATGTGCCAGGAAATTCCTAAACATTTGCTGCCCTTCAACAAATACAGTCTGCATGGAAGGAGTGCATTATCCTTGCTCAGCAGTAGGATGCAGCGCAAAAAGTCAAGGAGCTGGCGGGTGGAGCAGATGAGGCATCAAGAAGTCAGAGATTCCTGGCTGAGGTTGGGAAGACCACTGCCAAATTTTAAACAGAGAAGGATCAAGGAAAACACTGGGATGTGAAGATGCGCTATTTGTACCACAGCTGCTCTGCACAATCCACTGTTTTTAAGGAAAATCATGCTGCATTTATCCCACTGACATGTTATGACTTACCAGTAGTCAAAATTGAGCAGCAGACAAATGTCATAGTCCAGCTGCTTTTAGAAAGGTGCAGGTTTCTTTAACTGGCAGCTTCCTTAGCTTTCAAAAACAGGAAAGTTATCTCCTTGGGCTTTACTCCCGAAGAAAATATAAACATTACAATCAGGATAAAAATAAGTGACAGCACTTTATTTCAGTTCTTCTGCAAACCCGGAATAGCTTAAGATCTTGCCAAAAAGACCACAAAAATCAGACAAATATGGCTTTTAAGTAATGTTCTCCTGCTTTTAGAAGATGAGCAAAGAAAAGAAAAGGTAATTCTCAAAGAGAGACACTGTTTTCCTCTGTTTAATTTGCAAGATTCTCCAAACCATCTTGTTGCTAAGAGTGGCTTCAAGTGAGAAGCATGCTGTCATTAGAAAAAAATTTAACTATAAACATGAAATGCTGCCTGTTGAGCAAGAGGGGAACTTCCAATGCAGTTACCTCTTGAGATACAGCTTCCTTCTCTTCATCCCCCCCAGTGCAATTTTTTTTTTCTTTTTTTTTAAAAAAAAAACAGACAAAGCTGAATTAACTGAAGGACAAAGAATGGGACAAACTACTTGCGCTCTGAGGAAATAGCATATTCTTTATCCTAATCATGGCTTAAATAGAGCAGCTGCCATAGTGGGTAGGACATGGAAGCCTCTTCCTGGAGATGGCTACCATTACAGCAAGCCCATCTGTGTTGCTCTAGGTTTTGGCCCATGACAGCACTGCATTTCATAATGAACAGGAGGAAAAGATGCTTCTAACAACACTCCTGTAGCAATGGCTAGCCTCTGTATGAGCTGGGCAACAGGAACAGCAGGCTCTTAGCACTGTTGCCACTGAAGAATTTTGATAGATACTACCTTTATATTGGCAACATATAATTTTCATAGTCTTCATTATTATGCAGCTGGTCAAAGAAAAATATTGCAACAGTCCCCCTTAGGCAACCACATTAGAGCAAAAGAGCCCCAAATCTCCATATCTAATCACTCATATACATAGGGCCCTGCCAAACAAAACTAAACGCTTTCCAGTTAAAAAAAAGTGCTTTTGTGCTGGATCTTCAATGCCAGTTTTATTTGCACTGAGATAAGCTTTAGTGACCAGCAGCACTGCCATGTTTCTGCCTTCCATTTTGTTAAGGCAGGATGTGTTTCATGGCAGCTCCTGCTCCTTTTAGCACTTCTTGCAGAGAAGAAGTCGTAACATCGCAAAATAATTCCACTGCATAGAACCATCTATGAATTCAATTTGATTAGAAGCTGCTATACAATAAAAACTACAAGACCAAGTATTTATCTATTTATTTTAGCACTGTAACAGCAGAGTCCCTTATCAGTTGTTTAAAAGGCAGAAAGCATGAGGTGGAATTAATGAGAAACTTAGAAGAAACTTTTCTCATTAAGTTTGATAAATAGCTTCTCCCGTCCCCAGAAGGCCACAAAAGCAGGACACAAAGTTACAGTGGTAAGGGCAGACAATTTTTATACCTGCTTTGAATTCTACAGTACGCTACTAAATTACAGAGCGGTAAACTGGGGAAAAGAATGAATTACATACCCCACTGCTCCCTGCAATGAAATGGCACTGGCACTATAACCAGTGCAATATAACCCAACTGAGCCTTGTAAGCACACAGTTTATTCTTGGAAATAATGCTGGACTGATATATGGCTGAAAGGAAACAAACACACACAGCCATAAGAATACACTGAACTGGGTCCTCAACTTTGAGACCTACTGACCACAATAAAGCTTCTAATTATATCAAGACCTTATTTTTAACCTGCTAAAGAGATTAACAGTAAGCTACAGTCACCTTCAAAGCTTTCTGTGCACTCGTGCAATATATAAATGAAAAAATAATTTACATATCTGCTAGTGCTACATTTGCTTCTGATTTGTTATTGTGGGAGGTG